ACTCCAGATCCCGACGACACGCAAGCACATGCTTAAGCTACCTACCATCGTAAACCCGCACATCAAGAAAAACCTCTTATCCGTCCACGATATTGCCAAGCAATGGGGAGCAGTGATATTCTACCCCAACACAGCATGTGTCCTCGACACGCGAAAGAGACCGCCACAAGTAGTAGCGACAGCCCAATTCAGCCGCGGACTGTACACCCTCAACGTGGCAAAACCAACACCACACGCAACAACAGCAAGAGCGCTGCCGCGGCCACACACAAAAAATCGCAAGACAGCCCACACAGGCACAATCACAAAAGTGAGAGGATCACAAGCCCCCAAATCGCTGCCCAGATTGCGAACTCCGAAAGCACATAAAAAAATTGCCCCCATGCACCAACAGCACAACCCTGCCCACAGCCCCCCTGACACTGTCAATACGCGCACACAACATGAACACCACCATTGGCACATGGTATTCAATCATGTTCGCCCATCAACCATACAACAAATGGCAAAGAGAAAAATGATTCCCAACCTCCCAGCATCACTTGCAAACCCGCCCCCGAGAATCACATGTACAAGCTGCGCAGCAGCAAAACTCCAGCCAGCCAAACACCAGCGCAGACGACACAACTATGACACCGGCGAGGCACTCAGCAGTGATATATGCGGTCCCTTCCCCACCCCGTCAAGGCAAGGGAACAGATACTTTATGACGGTGATTGACACAAACTCACGATACCTAATAATCACCTTCTTAAAAACCAGGGAAGAAACTGCAGACCAACTGAACAACGTACTGCAACACATCAACAAAGGCAAAACCCACAAACCAAGGAGAGTCCACACAGATAATGCAAAAGAGTATCTATCAAGCGCGACGCAAACCGTATACCACAACAATGGGGTACAACACACAACCACTGTGCCGTACTCACCCCCGGAAAACGGTATTGCCGAAAGAATCAACAGAACCATACTCAACGCAGCACGAGCGGCATTACACCACAGTACACTCTCCACAGACCACTGGGAAGATGCAATCAAGGATGCAGCATTCAAGTACAATAACACGCTTCACCTCAGCACAGGACAAATCCCCACCACAGTATGGCACGGATACAAGCCACAAGTACCACAATACCTAATATTTGGGCAACTGGGACACATTCCCAACATCATGGGAAAGACAAAAATGCACAAGCTGCAACACCGAGCCATCCCTGTCCGGTACCTCTACGCAACCGACCAAAAACAAATCGTGGTCATGAGCACGGCAGACAACAAAACACGACGTGTGAGGACAGTGGACTTCAATGTCTACCATCGAGACCGTGACCCCAACAACAAAGTCCATGTGGTATTCAAGGCATTCACGCCCAAGCCAACCCCCGCCCAAATAACCAACACAACCTCTGCCCCAATGCACCATGGCCGAGCCAAAAATTACCCTGATGCAGCACAGTGGGCGCGAGCGCACAACAAAGAGCTCGATAACCTAGACCAAAACAAGGTTATCACGTGGCTCCCCCCACACAAAATCCCCAAAACAACCAAACCCATACCACTAACAATGGGGTACCGCTACAAAAGGGACCAGAAGGGCGAGATCATAGAGCGAAAAGCAAGGTGCTCAGCAAGAGGAGACAAGATGATCCCCAACGTCCACTTCAACCCCGACAAAACCACGACATATATGGCGGACAAAACCACAGTCAGACTCCTATTTGCCATTGCCGCAGCATTTGACATGAATATCGCGCACATCGACATAAAATCAGCGTACCTGCATGAAAAGTTTGACCACTCCGGCAGCGTGCAAGTGTATGTACGACAGCACCCAAGGTTTGATGGAACATACACACACGCACACACAGTGGGCAGGCTGAACAAGAATATATACGGCACACCGGGAGCAGGACACACCTACCTCACTGCTGTATTCAAGCTACTTAAAAAGCACAGATTCAACCAATCAGAGGCGGACATGTGCCTCTTTCACAGAAGAGAAAATGGCCACACCATAATTCTCTCTATCAGCATGGATGACTTCACCATCATAAGTACGTCCAAAAAATTACAGACCCAGTTTGCAGCCATATTGGCCACTGCATACAACATCAAGCAACTGGGCGAACCAAGCCAACTACTAGGATGGACAGTCAAAAGACTCAAGAACGGCTCAATACATGCTTCACAACCAGCGGCGATACAGTACGTCGTCAAAAAGGCGGAAATGGGAGAATGCAATAGCAAACCAACGCCATACAACGACAACACAAAACTACATGGCCCTGTCCCCGCAGACGAACCAATGCCACAGGTCACCAAAACGTATCAACAGCTGCTAGGTGACATCAGATATATCGCAGACTCAACGCGACCAGACATATACTTTGTCGCAAACCGATTATCAGTGGCAGCAAAAAACCCCACGACAAGACATTAGAATGCCCTCAAGCGTCTGATCAGATATATGAAACACACACAGACGCATGGACTCATATTCGCAGCAGGAAAACACAAAATGGACCCGCACTGCATCCCCAACCTCCTCGAAACCTATAGTGACGCGGACTTCGCAACAGACGTCACAGACCGCAAATCCATATCAGGAATGATCCACATGTACAATGGGATACCCGTGTGCTGGGGCTCTATCAAGCAATCCATCACAGCATTATCAACATGCGAAGCAGAATATATTGCTGCAACATCGGCAGCACAGCAAACGACATGGATCAGACGTCTACTCAAAGACATCGGCATGCTGCCCCAAGACGCCACACCCTTCCACATAGACAACCAATCTGCAATACGAGTCGCAAAGAACAGTGGACCAACAAAACGCAGAAAGTTCATTGACCTCAGACACCACTACCTCACCCACCAAACCAGAGCAAAGGCGATAAGCATACACCACATTCAATCACAAGACATGCTCGCAGATATATTAACAAAGCCGCTAAAACCGAAACCATTCACACACTTAACAAAAAAGATACAAGTGTGCAACCCCCCACCCCCGCATCAAACAAAGGATCGCGCTACAGCGACGGGGGGAGTGTGATGATAACCATAACAGCGCAGTCGCAGTAGCGCTCACCAAGTGATGATAACCATACACGTAGTACACGCATCACAGCCACGCACAGACGACGGCGAGTGGCGACTAGCCTTAAGCGAGCAGGTGAGAGATAGGAAGATAAACTGAGTCATCGTCTCATCACCTTCAGCTTTGCACGCGCACAGTACCGGTACAGTAAATTTTACATGGCTGTGATTCCGCAATCTCAACCGCGCCAGGAGCTCGAGATCCGGAAGTGAAACGTGTCCACGTCGACAACACGCGCCCTGGATACATGCACTTACGACATACTGTATATATTTTTTGCCGACATTTTGCCCCTTTGCATTGTTTGCCACGAATTCCCATTCTCTGTAATCTCCCACCATCCCTGCCGTCCCTGCCATCTCCATTTTTTCCGCGATCCGTCCGGCGATCCGACTTCTGGGGTAGCTCCGCCCTCTCCGCCCTCTTTCCTCGGGATCAACATGGTGAGGTAGGGCGGAGAGGAGAAGTGGTGCGGAAAGCAGAGAGCAGAGGTAGCGGGGAGGGCAGAGGCGGTGTGTAGACACGAGATCGCGAGGAGGGGAGGGCAGAAGTGGGAGGGGGAGGGCAGACGCGGTGCGTAGACACGAGGTCGCGAGAAGGGGAGGGCAGACAGAAGCGGAGGGGAGGGCAGAGAAGAAGTGGGGGGAGGGCAGAGGCTGGGCGTAGACACGAGGTAGGGCGGAGGGAAGAAGTGGCGCGGAGGGCGATGGCAGAGGCGTGTAGACATGACGTGGCGCGGCGAAAAGAGGTGGCACAGAGGGAGCAGAAGTCAGAGGGATGATGGGTTGGAGGAACGGAAGCGGGAAGACGTTTCAAGGGCGAAAGGCTTAGTTGTTGAGGATTTGTTGCGGAATGTGTAAAAGGAATATGTTTACCGAGAGGAGAAATAAAAAGGTTTCTAGCTAAGACCCGTGCGCGTTTGAACTCGTTCGAAAGGGAGATGAGCATAGACGAGACGAGGTTGGTGAGGAGAGGAAGAACAATAGAAATACAATAGAAATACAATAAAAAGGCAATAGAAAGAAAGCAGAAAGAGAACAGAAAGAAAGCAGAAAGAAGTAGGAAGAAAGTAGGAAGAAAGTAGGAAGAAAGTAGGAAGAAAGTAAAAAAAAGGAGGAAGAAAGTAAAAAAAAGGAAGTAACTAAGTAACTAGGAAGTAACTAAGTAACTAGGAAGTAACTAGGTAAGCTACGAATTGCTTCGGGCCACCTTGGTTAGGTGCCGGTGGGAATCGAACCCAGGGCCTCGCAGGCGCAGAGTGGCAACTTCACCACCAGCAACTGGGGTGGTGGGAGTTTAGCAGGTGAACACGAGGATAGAGGCGCCCAAGGAACCACGGAGGATAGGGTGGTGGGTGAATCTGGAGAAAGGTTATAGCCGTACCGGCAATGCGCAAGAGGGAGAAGCGTTTCTGGTGGAGACGCCGCAGGATAGAGACCTGTATCCTACAGCAGGCCGCGAGTACAGTACAAGAGTGCACCTGAGAGAGACAGCGATGTCCATTTCATCAAAGCTAACGTCCACGTGTGCCACGTGGATGATCGGATCATAAAAGCTCTGGGTGCTGGGCGGCTTTGCGGCCAACGATCGAATGCATGAGGCGGGGCGTTGAGGGCCGTTCCTAACGACGAGCACGGTGTGCTAGCACGCAAGCACCCTGAAACTTGGCATGAATGTATTGGTTGAAAAAATTATTGGAAATGCTTTTACTCCCGTTCAACCAATCCATTCATGCCAAATGTCAGGGTGCTTGCGTGCTAGCACGGTGTGAATGTTTGAAGTAACGTCCGAATGCATGAGATGGCCTTGAAAGTTTCTTAGTCGTCTGTCTGCAGTAAGGACAACGAAAACCCTTCGCAACGGAACAACCGTACGACAGTCACATGTCAGGTCCGCTCCCACTCCCAGAGTTGTTTACTGTGAGATGAGGGGAAGCTGGTTGATAGATCATGCACACAAAGACATGGACTGGCAACGTCCATAAAACAAGACTCTCAAGCTTTCGTGACATCAAAATGAACTCCCTCCCTCTCTCCCAACTACTATGACGCACCATTACAACACGTCACGAATGCCTGGGGTGGCAAGCGTCTATGGCTTCTCGTGTGGTCGTTTAGACCACTACCTTCATGCAAACAACCAGATTAGCTACCGCTGCAACTACCACTGCATGATCGTGCCATATCAGTGAGTCTACTGTAGTCTCCAATTGAGCCAGGACAGCCTCAGACCCGTCCTCTCGCCTCGCACAACTCTTCCCTTGCGTAGAGTTATTTGCGATGCTTGTCCTGTATAGGAGACAGTGCCCATGTCTGCGGTCCGCAGAATTTGGACCGTGATGTCTTGCCAGTCCTCTGTCCACTCGCTACCAAGTTTGATCCCTCTGTCCACGTTCCACACCCTCACATTCTCGTCCCAGGATGCAAAGATCACATGTCTTCCGTCCGCACTGATGCCAACACTGTGCCCCCTGTCCGTGTGTCCAGTCAACGAGCCCCCTCCTTGTGCTCTGCCTGGTACGAATGCGGCAACCGCAGTGCAGTGTGCGTACGTCTCGTTGTCAGAAGATGGACTAGCGTTTCATAAAGCCGGGTGATGCATCCAAAACAACAACTCAGTTCTTGTTTTGCATGCATCACCCAGCTATGAAGACTTTCATGGCTCCTCTACTGTCGTTCTGACGATGATGCTCCCGCCAAAACTTTCGCACCTTCTTTTGTACTCATTATAAAGCGCATACAGCTGATGCCACGTGCAGAGCGGCTCGCCCCAGACTAGTAGTCTACGACGGTGTAGTTTGAGACTACACCGTCGTACACGTCAACTCAGCCCAAAAAATGCGGTCACCATTTCCTTCCTCGGTCACGGCAGCAAGGAACGAACACTGTCCTCTAGCCAGTGAAGGGCGTCTTCCCGGGGAGCACCGTCTTCCGCTTCCCTAACCATATCCAAGTATCTATATGCTCGCACGAGCGGCCTAAGATTGAAGAACACTTTCCTAATCAACCTAAGCAATCCGTCAATGTCTGCTATGTCCATTTCCTGTGCATAGAGCTCTAGGGTATCCCGGTTGCACCAGTCAACATCAAACAAAGGATGGCCTGCGAAAGAGCTGTCAAAGTCGAAAAATCGGACCCCTGGACCCTCATCGGCGCCCTTCCTGGTTAGGTTCCCGTCGGTCGTGTCATTGTGTATCAAACAGGTAGGCATTTCCAAATCAATAAGTTCCGTCAGATCATCTTGCAGCTTCCCCTTGATGCTCGACAGTTTCTGCCTTGCTTCCGTTTCTAGCACGGACAAAAGCTCCTTACACTGAAAAAGTGAGTTCAAGTTCTCACGCATCCACAGCGGTGAATAACATGGTAGTCCGGCCTCCAACAAATCAGGCAACACCTTTGCGCTTGCGCGGTGCAGACACGCCAGATCTCTTACGCCCTGCTTACACGCCTCATCTTTCAATCCACAGAAGCCAGTCTCGTTGCCGTGGTCCACAAGGATCATTTGACGACGTTCTACGTCTGCGAACAACGGCTTGGCGACAAGATCAGGAACAACGTTAGACATTATTGACGTGACTCCAGCATCGTTCGACGTGGATGTACTGCATTTAAGGTAGTAATCACTCTCATCCGTCTTGATCCTTAGCACGGCTCCTCTGGATGACGCACGGATCTGAACCAATTCCCCCATCACATGCACATTGTGTCCATGCAATATTTCGCGCACCTTTCGAAGCATTTCTTGATACCATTCAACAGAGGCCCAAGGCACCCGTCTAGGCGGCGAAACGTTGGCTATGGTCTGTTCCAGTTCTCGCCGAATCGCTTGCTCCGCTCCTTTCTCCGAGTGCGACACATGGACGACACCCGCTCTGTGATCATTGGTGATGGCCACCCAACTGCATCCAGAAGGCACTTCTTGAGATTTCTCATGGCACTGAGCAACAAGAATAGCGCGGTCCATAGTAGCTGAAAGGTTAGGCCTTTCAACGGACAACTCCTCAGAGTAACAATGTCGAAGAACAAGAAACGGAAATTCGATACCAATGACTGTCTTGGCAGCTCTGCACACATCCTGTGTCGAGCTGCGACATACGTCGTCAGAAAGAAATCCCGGAAGCCTCCACTGATCAGGACCACTTGCTACAAGCAAAACGTATTGATGGCTCACATCAAACGTAAGAAGTTGCACCTCATTGACCAAATCCCTTTCACAACGTGCTCTAGACGACTCGTAGATAGGCTGTTCGCTGCGGAGTGACATCTCTTCCGATCGTAGAAGAAATCTTGCGTGCTCGTTTTGTCGAGCTTGAGATATTTTCCGTTGAAGACTTGAAGGTCAAGCGTGTACCAGATCGCAATAGACCTCACCGTCCGAAGTGGGACAAGTCAAGCATGGAGTAAATGAGAGCCTCGTGGTACACGCGGTTACGTAAATTTTGAATATCTTTTTACAGCGAAAAAACAGGCCAAATTTTGCTGGACCGCGTCTGCATTTCGTAAATTCTGAACCATGCGACAGCACTGTACAGTACCAAGGGTACTGTTGTGCCCGGTCCCTTGGGCACCGTCAAATCAAGTTTTTATTGCTGGCCAGAGGCTGTTGGCGGGAATACTCCCGGTGCAAGCCTCCGCTCGTCGAGAATCCACTCGACTTCTCAGGAATCCACCTGATCTCGGCCTCTCCAATTCACTTGATGCCCCTCCCTTTTTCTCGTCCCCCCTGCCGCCGCGGGTCCCTTATATGCTATCTACTCTGCGCCCTCTCGCCACCTCAAGCGCTCGGAACGCTGTCTCCCTCGCTCCGTCTCCCATCCCCCTGGCCCCACACATGACCCCCCCTGCGCCCCTTTTCCCCTTCGCACAGTCCCCGCCCTTTCTCTTCGCGTCCTCCCCCGCGGCTCCGCTCCCTACTTCCAGGCGCAATTCCCCCGTTGGCCGGTGCTCGTCCGTGACCACACTTCTTTCCTTTCGCAGGCATTGCCGCCCTTTCAGAGAGCGTCCGACACGTGTACTGAAGCGCAACAGTACTGTAAATACTATCACAATGAAAGCGGCAACTGTACAATACGGCAGTGCACAATGGACACGTCCGTTGCAGAGGATACACTAGCGTTTTTAGTAATGCTTGATGACATACGAAGTAGATGATGGACGCAAAATCGAAGAACACTGAACACAAATTTAATACTAATGATTGTCTCCGCACCGCTGCACACACTAGATGCCGCACCCGCACTGTCACTAAGTTCATCAAAAGGAAATCTTGGAAGCCTTCATTCATCAGGACTACTTGCCACAGGCAAAGCGAATTGACGAATCACATCAGCGGCAGGACGTTGCACCTCATTGACTAAATCCCTTTCACAGCGTACTCTGGACGACTCGTGGGTAGGCTGTTCGCTTTGGAGTGACATCTCTTTCAATCCTGGAAGCAGTCCTGATATAGCCGTCCGTCGGTACTGTGATATTTGGTCATATGTTTCTCCTTTTCCTTTGTTGTAGTGCGCGTGGTGTTTTTTTTCACTTTCACAGTGCGACCGCAGGCTCTGCAAATCACGTCCACCATGTTTGTGATGTAGGCTGAAGAGAAATACTGGCGGAGGAGTCGGAACGGGCAGAACGGACTGGAATATCAGGACAGAACCTCCTTCCACAGAATAGTGCGGTACTTCTCAACTTGCTTTTTGTCTGGGCGGAGGGGCGGGGGGGGGAGAAGGGGACAGGGCCAAATGGAAGAATATCTTCACATTAAATACACTACGTACAGTACTGGGTGCGGGACCAATAGAGCAAGCACATGGTCAGAGTTGATCTACTTTTGTATCATGCAATATAGTACTTGTCTAATGGAAACGGATTCAGTAGATATTTTCTTTTGATTTCCTTGAGCCTTTTTACCCTAGCTTGATTTCAGATTGTTTTTCATTGTTATGTGGCCGTTATGTGGCCGTTATGTGGCCGTGTTGCTTCAAGATACCAAGGGGGCAACAATGATGTTTTGAGCACATGCGAGTTGGAGCTCCCACGGGTACAGATCGTTCCGCCAGTCGTTGTTGAGTTCGAGGTCCACGGTGGCCGAGATCGTGTTTGAAAGACGCTCCGTACTCGTGGCGACGGTGTCTGAGGAAAGCGAGGCGAGAAATTTGAGGAAGGCGGGGGGGGGCAAAGGTTAGGGTAGTTTGAGGGCGGGGGTATGGAGGGTAAGAGGGATGCTGTGGCTGCGGAAGAGGGCGGATGGGAGGGCGAGGACGGGGATAGGGGCTTGGCGTCGGCGGGAGCTGTAATCATTCGCCTGGAAGATTCTACTCAAGGAAATGGTACACGTTTCTGTACATATCGATATGGATATCGATGACCCTTCGGACCATAATTTGTGCGTGAGCATTAATTAGATGTTACACAGTTGTGCACAGTCGTACACCGCTTACGACTGTACAGAGGCCACAGAAGGTGTTACTGTCTTTTGCTGATAGCATCCAACCTTTGTACGGGATAGCACTTGGAAGAGTTAATTGCAGTGCCCGTCATGACCTAAGGGAAAATTGGAACTATGTAATTCTTCGTCTTCATGCCTAATTGCTCATGTTAAGCGCTGCACGACCTTTCAGGCGTGTACTCGTAGCGCGGATACCTCGTAATGGAGGTCTATAAATCCCGGAGCGCTGTGTAACCTCCAGGGGAATAAAGGCATCGAACAACGGGAGCGTCTATCCGTCTGTGCGAGGTACCTTCTCTTTCTGTTTTTCCCCACAAGTTGCTACAGACCAAGCATGGCTCTTCCGTTTACGAGACGCGAGCCGCGCGGGAGGGGGAATCGGGGTGGAGTTTAGGAGTTTAACGCGAGGATAGAGGCGCAAGGTGGATGAACATTGCTGCATTCGCACTTGAAATGCCGAACTTACACCGCAGTGGCAGCGGCTTGGCGGTGACGATGCAGCAATGCGGCAACGCGGCCACGCGGCAACGCGCAGAAGCAATAAAAGGGGGGGTTCCCCTATTTTTGGAACAGACCCCAAACAATTGAATATGCAAAAAATAAAAAAAAAGTACCCATTACTGGGGCCAGCGGAGAATTCTTAACTGGCAAGCAGCGACTGTCAGAGTAATTGACTAGCCGAGTAGTCACTTTAATTAGCTTATCATTATCAATTTAGGTTAAACTATGTAGGCTACATTTAGCTATGAACAATAGAGTCCCTTAAGGACGTGCCACCTACAATTCTACCTGTGCAGGGTGTAACCGTTCAGAGACATTATATGGGTGGCGCAACCTCCCTTTTATGGTAGTGCGCCTACTGTTATTGTAGAGTCAAAAGGACTATAAAGCTAGGTCGAAGACGCTACTCGTCTTCGACCTCAGCACATTGAACCCATCTGAACAACAACCCGACAACTACTGTCCGCACCGTGCTCACCCGTCCCCTCGCGCAGTTTCAAGGCAATAGCCTGCTGCCTCCCTCACCGCCCCCTTTTTGTCATACCAACAACCCCGCCGGACCGCCCCACCCGGTCGGTCTCCCGACACTGATCAGTTTAAGGGACCACCGCCCCATTTGGTCCTGCCCCGCTCCGCTGATAAGACCTTCCTTATTTCAACTTCGTTTGAAGCCGTTTGCGCATCTTTAATAAGTCCGCCTTATCGACTCCGCTGAATTGGAAATCAAGATTTTTTTCAAGTATCTACTTTGTCCCTAACGTTTACTGTACATACTACTGTATAGTTTTACAGTAAACGTTATACATTTGGGCTACAGTACTACGTACTGTACGCCTGGCGCAACAGCGCAGTAGTTTATGGCACGTGTGAAGCGCTCTACCAATTACCCCGACCTAATTCGCGAACGCCGCATCGCTGCTGCCGCCGCTCGCTTTAAGGCAACCGTAACCGCGCCGCCGTTTCGCTCACCGCCATCTACCCTCTCTGCCGCCGCATTACCGCCGCCGAATCGCTCGCCGCCAAGTACACCCCTCGCCGCACAAATACAACACGTGGCCACTACTCCTCCCCGCCCCTCAGTCACCCCGCCGATCTCCCACAGCGGAACCACCGCATCACATTCTACATTGTTCAAGGCGCCCCGTTTGGTGGACATCGAAGCTACCGAAGCCTCGAACGAGGACACCTCCGCGCCCGTAGACCCTGTATTCGACCTCGACACCGGTCGTGCGCTACATATATATCGCGTCGCAACGCAGCGCGCTAATCGATGAGCTAATCCTCTGCGCCGTCGGCCCCTCGTCTACCGCTGCGAACCGTGCGCACGAAGCTTTCCTAGCTACCGCTAGCGCCGCTCTCACGAGGCAGGTCTGCCTCACCGACGTGCAGTAGCTGTCGCAGAACACCCTACCCGCAAACTCACCTGCCACTTGTGCGACCGCCGATTTGCGAACGGGCACGACGCTGACGCTCATTACGGTGGCACTATTCACCATCGTGCCATACGTAAATTGCGCACTACTTGCAAATAATTAGAGTTTAAATTTTTTTGACTCACGTGAAATTGTCTTAACTTCTTTACTTCAAAGTTTTTGAAAAGGACACTTGTTACTAGAGCAAATTTTTTGGCGCACCACGGACCCACGTGTGCCTACCTGCCACGCACACACGTGCTGTCAGTGTGCACGCAACCACGTGTAACTGCGCGCACACGCAACCACGTGTTACTGCGCGCATACGCAACCACGTGTTACTGCGCACATACGCAACCACGTGTCACTGCGCACACACGCAACCACGTGTTACCCCACGTGTTCATACCGACTACGCATACACGGGTACTACTATTGTACACGCGCACACGGTTCGCGTACACACGTGTTAGTACTGTTATACGAGTAATCGTCCCGCCCCAGTGAACGTACACACGTCTGAAATACTACTACGAGTACAAAACACCACACGTTTACACGTAGTACACTCGCCACGTTACTATAGGAACGCTTTTCGAGGTCAACATTCGCGTTTAGCCCGGATCCATTTTAGTTATTATTTTGCAATAATTTTTAATATGGCTAGTCTAAATTGTATCCGAGACGCTTTGTCAAACTATGACCCCCGATCCATGATCCAATGTGATATCAAGGCTACGATAGCTCTCCATGTTATGGCGGATCCACAACCTGCCTCAGATGTTTGTGTACACAAACATCTACTAACGTTAGTAACCTTCGTGCTGATCTTTTCCCAGAAGCTCTATACGCAAGGGAGATGTTACGAGGCCCCACCGTGTTATATCGACTTATCCGGGACTACCTAGTGGTTAAGGGATTGTCGTACACCGCGCACCCCTCCACTAACCGCATTTCTCACGGTCTAGTTAACATGATCTATGAGGACAATGCAGACCGTATGCTTGCCAACCAAAGTCTCGTCAGATCTTCCATCGGCTCTACACATGGAAGCCAGCAATCTTTCCCCCAGTCCCATGACCCGCCCAACTCCAAGATTGCGCACAACATATCGTCCCGATTCAAGAAGGACAACCGATATACCGGGAAAATTGGGGAAGACATTCAGGATGCAATCAGCAAGTATCGTGATTATGCTGAAGATTTTCACCTCAGTGATGAGCAAATGCTTCGATTCTTTCACAACATCTTTGATGGAAAAGCTAAGCGATTCTACCGCTCCCACGTCATCAGAAACGCGCAAGACTTTAACGCAGCCGCTTCACGCATGGTTAACGAGTTTAATAGTCTTACGCGACAGAATAGGGTTCGTAAACTCCTCCAAAACCTCCCACTTTCGCGAATTATGGACACAAAACGAATCTTTGTGTCAGAAGCTTTGGAAGAACTTCGTGAAACCATCACAAAGTATACTCCACAAGGTCGTCCCACGCACCAAACGGCACAAGATAAAACGGAGTATCTTCACGACGCCGTAATTGGACTCGAGTGGGCCAAGAGCGTCTTAACACAAAGCTTGGCTGCCATACCCCCTTGGACGTTTCAGCAGCTCTATACTGCTCTTGATGCCGCTTGGCTGCAGGAACAGAAGCAGAAAGAAGGACGCCGTCGTGATCACAATGAAGTACACCGTACCCATCCTTTGCCTCCCATCCCTGGTATTCATTTCCAACGTCAGAACACGTATGGCATCCCCCGCCGCCCCGGTTCCGCTTCTTCAAACCCAAGGACGACATTTCCTCGCCAACGTTTCTCCCACAACCCCGCCCCGACCCAGAATGGTGCATATCGCTTCGGAAATATTCGTGCTTGCCACAACTGTGGAAGTAAATTTCACCTCATTCGGGACTGTCCCAAGCCCTTAGCTCTCAGGAAGAATGTCAGCCACATGTTACAGACCAGACCAACGAAACGCATCCCCTACGAGCTATGCGAGCAAGCCGAACACGCCCTAGGTACGAATGAGATCGATTTCGCAGCTTTCGCAGACGAACCACAACATGACCCCGGTGACGTGATTCTCAATGATTACACCCTCAACAATGATGACGATGCCGCAGATCAGGCTGTGACACATCATCAAGTAGTACACACGCCACTGAAAGAAGAAGACATACTGTGGGATACTGTAGACAATCTTGATCCAATGGATTTTTA